GTCCAGTTACTGAAAAAACTAATGAAATTGTTGAAAAAGTCCAGCAAAATAAGCATATTAGCAGTGTCGATATTCGTATGGAACTAGGCATTGGCCACAAAAGTGTTTTGAATCATTTACACAAAGCTGGATACAAACAGAAGCTGGATATTTAGGTTCCTCATGAGTTGAGCGCGGAAAACATGATGGATCGAATCAACATCTGTGATGCGCTGATCAACGCGAATCAACATCTGCTGAAACGTAATGAAATCGAGCCATTTCTGAAATGTGTCATAACCGATGATGAAAAATGGATCACGTACGACAATCGGAAGCGTCAAAGATCGTGGAAAAAAGATGGTGAGCCGTCACATGCGTTCACGAAGCTAGGATTGACGCTAAAAAAGGTGATGCTGTGTATGTGGTGGGACTGGAAGGGAATCGTCCACCATGAGGTACTTCCAGTTGGTCAGACGATTAATTCTCAACTCTACTATGAACAACTGGAGAGGTTACGCCACGCAATTGAAAAAAAACGGCCCGAATTGCATAATACGAAAGGTGTTGTCTTCCATCACGACAACGCCCGACCACACATTTCTTTGACGACCCATAAAAAATTGCGAGAGTTTGGTTGGAAAATTTTGATGCACCCACCGTATAGTCCAAACATAGCACCCTCTGACTATCACTTGTTCCGATCTCTGCAGTACTCTCTAAATGGAATTAAACTGGCTTCAAAAGAAGCCTGTGAAAACCACTTGATTCACTTTTTTAACACGTTCCGTGCCACGTGTACCATCGATAGTACACGCTTGCATGTTTACTTAGTGAACTGAACAAATTGTTTACAAGAAATTTAGAACCGAAGAATCAATTTCCACCGCAAGAATGGGCGTTGATAAGTTTTTGTTACGTTGTTATGTGTACGAGAATTAATAATTGCACGTAATACATCAAGTTTTAGTAAAATATCAAAGTGTGAAGATTCGAGTAAAAAAGGCTCGGCACGGAACGTGTTAACCAGAAACCGCAGATGTCCTTCGCCGATGCCATTATGATTCTACCCGAAAAATGGCGAAACATTGTCGATAATAATGGAGCATATTTAGTTTAAATAAATTCACTTTCACAATATAAGAAATCCAGTTGAATTTTAGTAACAAAACGCCACGAACTTTTTCCCAGACCCAATATAATTTGCTTAAAAAGTAATTTTATTGCATTTGCAGCAGCTTCGGAGAAATCTGGTATTAACACTTTATCTGTCCCTCCTTACATGTGATACATAGAAACCAAAGCTTCAGAGAAGCCACAACAACTAACCGTAAGTCGTCTTTCTTTTCGTAATTTAATCGTTTCTGGGAACTACTGATTACTCTAGCCCCGATATTTAATCTTCCTATCAGTGTTTTCCGTTCCTCTAGAACACATTAATCCGATATTTGACAAGAATTTAACGAATTCATCAACAAATATCCCACTATACAATAACGACCTCGACGATGTTCATACATATATTCGCTACACCGACCAAGGTAACGATGATAACTTCGTTATCAGTTTTTGAGACGATACGTACTGGAAAACATGAAGCCGTCTTTTGGAGTGTACGCTTGTCTTATTGTTGCTATCCTTCCATCAGCAAGGGTTCAACTAGTCCTTTCTAATCAACCCTGCAAATCGCAAGGCAATTTCGAGATCGTCGATGGAACGTGCAAAAATTACTATATTTGCATTTTCAATGGTGTGGCATTACAATCGTACAACTTAGTATGTGCTCCACCAACTCTTTTCAACCCCGCTATCGGCGTATGCATAAAGGGATACGATTGCCAACAACCACCGCCAACTTCAACAACGGCAGATTCGACAACAACACCAACAATTGATTCGACACCATCATCATCACCATCAACAACTGATTCGACACCATCATCATCACCAACAACAATTGATTCGACACCATCACCATCAACAACTGATTCGACACCATCATCGTCACCATCAACAACTGATTCGACACCATCATCATCACCAACAACAATTGATTCGACACCATCACCATCAACAACTGATTCGACTCCATCATCGTCACCATCAACAACTGATTCGACACCATCACCATCAAGAACAACAACAACTGATTCGACACCATCACTAACAATAACAACTGTTTCGTCACTACCACCACCATCACTAACATCAACAACAACTAATTCGACGTCACCACTAACAACAACAACAACTGATTCGACACCACCACCAACAACAACTAATTCGACATCAGCACCAACAACAACAACTGATTTGATACCATCACCAACAACAACAACTATTTCGACACCACCACCATCACCACCAACAACAACAACAACTGATTCGACACCAGCACCAACAACAACAACTGATTTGATACCATCACCAACAACAACAACTGATTTGATACCATCACCAACAACAACAACTATTTCGACACCACCACCATCACCACCACCAACAACAACTGATTCGACACCAGCACCAACAACAACAACTGATTCGACACCATCACCAACAACAACAACTGATTTGATACCATCACCAACAACAACAACTATTTCGACACCACCACCATCACCACCACCAACAACAACAACTGATTCGACACCAGCACCAACAACAACAACTGATTCGACACCATCACCAACAACAACAACTGATTTGATACCATCACCAACAACAACAACTATTTCGACACCACCACCATCACCACCACCACCAACAACAACTGATTCGACATCAACAAAAACGCCCGAACCGACACCAACACCAACGCCTGAACCGACACCAACACCAACGCTTGAACCGACACCAACAGTAACGCCTGCGATTGAATGTACAAGAAACGGAAGATTTTCAGTTGGGGACCCTACTTGTAAGATGTATCGGGTCTGTTATTTTTATGAGAATATTGTCATAAATCGTATTTTAACATGTCCAAACAATTTGATATTCAATCCTCGGACCGAAACGTGTGTTTTACCATCTACTTATGCATGTACACGGAATTCGACATCGCCAAATACGACGACAACAAAGTTCACGACAACGTCAACTTCGACAACACCATCGAGTTCAACAACCCCAACAGCGTTTGAGTGTTCACGTAATGGAAAATTTCAAATTCCGGGTACAGCATGTAAAGAATATTACGTCTGCTATTTCTACCAGGATATCCTCATAAATCGGTATATGACATGCCCAAACAGTACGATATTCAACCCGGTAACCCAAACGTGTGTGCTACCTTCTAGTTATAAGTGTCCATCAAGTTAAATTAAATTTAAATCGAGTTTAACACAAATATAGGGCGAATTTGCGAAAGAACATCAAACACGTCATCCGGAATCTGGTGAAAAATGTAATGGGCGCGTGTATATCTTCTGTCATAAATGTATCGATCGTAACATTGTAATGAAAACAACCTTAAGCGAACGGAGTAAGTGTAAACGTCGAGAGACATCAATAAAAATGAATTTTGCATAAGAAGTAATTTTATTCCATTTACAGTAGGTTCATAGAAAGCAGCTATTAACACCTTATCTGTCCCTTCTCACCTAAGAAATATAGCAGAAACCAAGACTCGAGTGTGCTACTTGACGTGTTACCTAAACCCCCAATATTTCTATCACGTCTAAAGTACGTTAATCCTATATTTGCACTATACTGTATTGACTCAAACGATATGCATATATATACATATTTTTGCGACACCGACGAGGTCCTCGTTATCAGTTTCTGAGACGCTACGTACTGGAAAACATGAACGCGTCTTTTGCGGTGTACGCTTGTCTTATTGTTGCTATCATCCCATCGGCGATGGTTCAACTAGTCCCTTCTAATCAACCCTGCACAGCGGAAGGCTACTTCGAGATTGTGGATGGAACGTGCAAAAATTACTATACTTGCATTTTCAACGGTGCGGCATTAGTATCGTACGACTTAACATGTGCTACACCAACCCTTTTCGACCCCACTATGGGCATATGTGTGACGGGGTACGTTTGCACTCAATCAACACCGGTACCCACGTGTCCAACTAATGGAAGATATCCAATTCCGCTTACTGCATGTAAGAAATATCGCGTCTGCTATACTTACCAGAATGTTGTCATAAACCGGATACTGTCGTGCCCAAACAGTTTAATATTCAACCCTGTGTCCCAAACATGTGTGCTACCTTCGACTTATAAGTGTCCAACAAGTTAAATTAAATTTAAATCAAGTTTGACGCAAATATGGCGCAAATTTGCGATGGAAGAATGAGGACCCACAAACACGTCATCCGGATTCTAATGAAAAATGTAAATGGCGCGTGTGTATGTCTTCTGTCATAAATGTATCGATTGTAACATTATAATGAAAACAACCTCATGCGAAGAGAGTAAGCGTAAATGTCGAGAGACATCAATAAAAATGCATTTTGCTTAAGAAGTGTTATAATTTTATTCCGTTTACAGTAGCTTCAGAGAAAGCAGCTATTAACACTTTATCTGTCCCTTCTTACGTGAAAAATATAGCAGAAACCAAGGCTAGAGTGTACTCATATCATCTAACCGTAAAACTTCTTTCTTTTCGTAATTTAATCGTCTTTGGGAACTACAAATTACCTAAACCCCCAATCTTTCTATCACTTCTAAAGTACGTTAATCCTATATTTGACAAGAGTTTAATGGATTCGTCAATAAATGTTGCATTATACTGTATTGACTTAGACGATTGGCGTATATACATATATTCGCAACACCGACGATATCCTCATTATCAGTTTCTGAGACGCTACGTGCTGGAAAACATGAACGCGTCTTTTGTGGTGTTCGCTTGTCTTATTGTTGCTATCATCCCATCGGCAATGGTTCAACTAGTCCCTTCTAATCAACCCTGCACAGCGGAAGGCTACTTCGAGATCGTGGATGGAACATGCAGAAATTACTATATTTGCATTTTCAACGGTGCGGCAATAGTATCGTACGACTTAACATGTGCTACACCAACCCTTTTTGACCCCACTATGGGCATATGCGTGACGGGGTACACTTGCACTCAATCAACACCGGTGACTGCGTGTACAATTAGTGGAAAATATCCAATTTCGGGTACTGCATGTAAGCAATATCACGTCTGCCTTATTTACCAGGGTATCGCCATAAATCGGTATCTGACATGCCAAAATAGTACGATATTCAACCCGATAACCCAAACATGTGTGCTACCTTCTAGTTATAAGTGTCCAAGTTAACTTAAATTTAAATCAAGTTTGGCGCAGATATAGAACGAATTTGCGATGGTAGAATGAAGAACCATAAACACGTTATCCAGATTATAGTGGAAAATCTAATTGGCGCCTGTGTCTGGTTGTGTGTGTGTGTGTGTCTTCTGTCATAGATTGTAACATTGCGTGTGTTTTATAGAGTCTATTCGTCTGGAAAGATGATCGTGTATGTACTTATAAACAATAAATACTTGTGCAATTAATAAATTACTTGAAATGTAAATTAGTTCAAGGAAACTACTAAAGATAGACTGGAGCACCAGAAAGCTGGTTTAATTAAATTTTAATTGCATTTAATATATAGAGGCTCCAAGAAGTATTTGACCACTTTTCCGATTTTCGAGAAATTATTTATATGTAATCTGTTATAATTTTGTAATGAAAAATCGTTCAAAAATATACCTGTACTCATTTTGAAGCTTACAGTCTCTACTTTCGCAATCCGTCGTTCATTTTCTACTGAAATATTTTTACTTGATATAGCTGATGGAGAATTGAAAGAAATGTCTCCAAAAAATTGGAACGTATTTCTCGTAGTTAAATTTTAATCTAAATTTGAAGATACTCCTCGTGGAATATCCTCGTGTAATTATGATTTGAAATTGCAACATATTTGAAAAAATTGATCTTTCTTATGGAGTTACAGAATTAAGTATTAAGAAAAATTACTTCTTAAAAATTTAATTTTATAATCTCCTCCACTCAGAAAGCACTGTCAACATTTATATCTATAGCAGAGTTTGTCATCATGGATGATAACGTATAATGATTATGTGTAATGAAAATAGTAAGAATACGCTACATATAATTAGGAATATTACGATTCAGAATTAGATACAGAGGATGATATCTGATAATTATGTGTTTTTCAATGCCCGTTTTGTTATATACTATACATTTTTTATAAATTATATAATATGCTACTAAAAAGAATATGTTAAAAAAAATATTTAATTTTCAATCATAGAGTAATCGTGCAGTTAAATTATCAAATATGTAATTAATAGAATTGTGTCATAGAAAATACATTTTTGTTGTAATCAATTTTGGCCACAAAATTTCGTTTTACAGGCCACTTTGCCACTGTGGTGCCACCGAACGGCAAAATGTTAACCAGCTGTATTAATTAATAGTTGAAATAGGGTATACAAAACACACGATTCTTACTAAATCTAGATGTCGTCTGTATTATCAAAAACGATATACAATAAGAATAGGCACAGGCTTATGATAGAAAAAAATGCAGACAGAAAAATGCATTGCATGTAATGTCCATACTCCATAGAATTATCCTAAGTCTGTGACGTAGCATTCACTATATCTTCGTGGCTGGATTTTCTAAAGGATTTTTTAATTTTTCGATGATTCTCTTAGGTTTCTATTTACAGCGAACTTCAATTATTATTTGAAGACTAATCCAGGCAATGAATTTTTATCCTGTACACACGCTTTAAATATTGGACAGAAACAAAGTATATTTTTTTTTCACATAGTATATTATTAAATTATAACAGTAATTGGAATTTCATAAATAACATGCATACGCAACAAAATAAATTAATCCTTTAATGTGTAACAATATATAAATACTCATCCGTCGATTCTTGTTCCTTACTTTCTACCTTCATTTAGGGACTCATGCCAGAATTATGGTTTCCCCAAAAAAATATTTGTCTCTAAATGAATAAAGAGTGTAAAATGATTAGTTGTACAAATTAATAAATTGCAAATTAAATTTTTGAAATCTTGACATTACAAATCAATTGATTATTCTGTGATTAATTCATTAAATCGAAAATACCTCATTAATATTATCCAAGATTCCCTTTAACTTTTCGCACTTCTCCCTAAATCGATTGGCCAATCGTGCATTCCTCTTAAAACGATTTTCAATACTCGTGGTTTGCTTGAGAACTGTAGCTGTCTTTGCACAATAATTTTGTAAAAGGGCGCGCATCTTCGTCTGTACCATCAGCTGCTTACCATAGTAGTCTAGTTTCTGCAGCAAATCCAATTCTAGATTCTTGATGGTGTTTTTATGACTGTTTATAAGTGAATCAATGGAATCGACTAACACGTTTTGAATGGCAATGCCTTCACCGTACGATTCATTAAATTCTCCCGATGCTAGTAACTGTTCGATATCTGCAGTCTCCACTTCCCTCAATATCGCTAGGCATACCTTCAGCAGTGTCTGTACCTGGATAAATTGATCGGAAATTGATCAAACAAATAGATAGAATAATCAATCGTCAACCTACTCGGGACAAACAATTAATTATTTTTAACATCCTCTGGAAGTCTGGAAAACTCTCTCTGTTCCTCTGATACATCTCGTTAGTCATGTGCAAGTATTTACATCCATCTAGAAGCAGTATGTCCAGCAGTGACTCCTTTTTCTCCTAGTTCGAGGATTGCAAAAAAAGTTTGTTTAAAGATTGATTTACGTTGCGATATAATCGCGTAATCTAAATTTTGATCATATTTGTGAGATCGAAAAGATCAACAGACTTTAACCCTTTGATTCCCAAGTAGCGCGATCGCGCTGTTCAGATTTTGTGTCGAAAAGTCCCAGCACATTTGAACGCTAGACTCATAGACTACCGAAGTAGCGCGCTCAACTTTACTGACGCACGTACATCGTATAGCTGCTCTTTTTAACGTAAATAATACAACCAACACATTTTGTATTTCATCGTAATCTTCTCAATAATATATATTGAACAAAACGTGAAATATAATATAAGTACGCATATTAAGACAAGCGCTATCGCGCTATTCGGCATTTTTCGACCATGTTTATACAATGGCCCCTGGGACTCAAACAGTTAAAAGAACAAATACATATTTCTTACCATTGTCTTTGTTTGTCAGTTTGATTATTTAATTTAAAATATTCTTCCTCATTTTCTTAATCAGTCAAGCGATTCTAGGATAGCAACACTTTACGACAGAAAAGTAGAATTTAAACCACCATGATATTTATCAAAGAAGTGGTACTAAATAATCGTTACCTTGTTTAATAAGCAGTGGTTTTTCGAATTTAATAATTTTTGTCTTATACAAGAAATAAACGAATTTTTCAGAGAAACCGCGATCAACGGCCGAGTGGTTTCGAAGACAGTGAATCGTTGACTGAACTTTGTGTTTATAAATCAACACGTTAAGGTGACCTGACGCGACGGTTGAAAACTGAACAATAAAATTCCAATAGATCTTTGATTGCTTAGGATTCCTAGGTTTTTTAACTTTGTGAACGCCTCAATGTTTCTGGGAACTATAATATTAACATTTTGAGAGAATTCATACATGAAAGTGGTCTTCTCTATAACAATTGAGCAATGCAATCTTTTGGACGTTCAGCAATTTAAACAATGTATTTCATTGAAATTGATAAACGACGTTGGTCCAATTTTAAAAACGTTAATTACTACAGTTTTCACTTTCATTTTCAAAGCTATCACTTCTAAACTATCAATATAACACTTTATAAGAGAGAGAGAGAGAGAGAGATTTAAATTCATAGAACCTAAGTACCAATTCACCCAGTGGAACACGCATCTGTTACCAACAGATGATATAATGCGACATCAAGTTTAATAGAAAAAAAAATTAAACTGATGTTAAGTTTATATTTTTACAAGTGTAGAAATCAAACGTACAAAGTTCGTAATTAAATTCTGATAAATTAGAGAAAAAAATATAATTTTTACATTTCATTTAAAAATCTTTGAAAATATTTGTAACAAACTTTTATTATATTTTACAATATAAAAAAGAATTCTTAATTAGCAGCTCTATTAGCTCGATATCATCCACGATTCAAAATACATTACAACTCGTAAACCGGTAAATCCGGAGACTCAGGGAAACATCAGGTTTACCTGTGCACCTTATTAACAAAATCACCATTTTCCTTTATTATTAAACTATTTGCTGCCCTGGCTTGTAAGTTGTAATAGTAGTTTGTTTATTTTTCATAAATACAACAATCCTGCATGTCTGGAGGAAATTTCAATTCTATTTAATATTTATTAATATCGATATATAACAAAGAACATTAAACTACATCTGTAGCAAGTGTATTGTCCACCGGTGCGCATTAGCAACAATCTCACATTGTCGCTGGTCATTTTTATCATAGACACTGTTGTGTTATATTTGAAGTAGTCGAAGTAAATGAAATAGCATAATCTCAATAATTAACATGTTCATTAGATTTCATTTAAAGCGTTTTTACACCAGGAGAAACTACAATCACAACATAAAAATTTGTTATACGAGAAATGTTCTTTTTCGAACGTATACAGCAACCTAAATCATGCTAGACATTTAAAATAATATACATACTACGAAAAACGTATTTATAATTTATACAATACTGAGAATAAGTGCCCGGAAATTACATTGTACATATCTATTATCTTGAAACTGGAACAAATATATACAGGATGTACCGAAAATCGTGGTAAAACCGGCCAAGGGGCGATTCTATGTGTAAAAATAANGATTTAAATTCATAGAACCTAAGTACCAATTCACCCAGTGGAACACGCATCTGTTACCAACAGATGATATAATGCGACATCAAGTTTAATAGAAAAAAAAATTAAACTGATGTTAAGTTTATATTTTTACAAGTGTAGAAATCAAACGTACAAAGTTCGTAATTAAATTCTGATAAATTAGAGAAAAAAATATAATTTTTACATTTCATTTAAAAATCTTTGAAAATATTTGTAACAAACTTTTATTATATTTTACAATATAAAAAAGAATTCTTAATTAGCAGCTCTATTAGCTCGATATCATCCACGATTCAAAATACATTACAACTCGTAAACCGGTAAATCCGGAGACTCAGGGAAACATCAGGTTTACCTGTGCACCTTATTAACAAAATCACCATTTTCCTTTATTATTAAACTATTTGCTGCCCTGGCTTGTAAGTTGTAATAGTAGTTTGTTTATTTTTCATAAATACAACAATCCTGCATGTCTGGAGGAAATTTCAATTCTATTTAATATTTATTAATATCGATATATAACAAAGAACATTAAACTACATCTGTAGCAAGTGTATTGTCCACCGGTGCGCATTAGCAACAATCTCACATTGTCGCTGGTCATTTTTATCATAGACACTGTTGTGTTATATTTGAAGTAGTCGAAGTAAATGAAATAGCATAATCTCAATAATTAACATGTTCATTAGATTTCATTTAAAGCGTTTTTACACCAGGAGAAACTACAATCACAACATAAAAATTTGTTATACGAGAAATGTTCTTTTTCGAACGTATACAGCAACCTAAATCATGCTAGACATTTAAAATAATATACATACTACGAAAAACGTATTTATAATTTATACAATACTGAGAATAAGTGCCCGGAAATTACATTGTACATATCTATTATCTTGAAACTGGAACAAATATATACAGGATGTACCGAAAATCGTGGTAAAACCGGCCAAGGGGCGATTCTATGTGTAAAAATAAGTCGAAAAGAAGAATATAATTTTTTCATTTAAGGCTCCGTTTTCGAAAAAGATTAGGTTGAAAAAATAATACTATTGAATAGGAATCAATTAGTGCGTCTGGCCATGACATACCAATTCTACTTACATCATACTACAAGCCACATGACGCATCTTCAAACTCAATTTTCTCAAGCCTTGAATGAAAAAATATTACTCTTTTCTTCGATTTACTTTTGCATGTAGAATCGCTGCTCGACCAGTTGTACTACGATTTTCGGTGCACACTGTATATGTAAAACTTTCAAACCCTTCATCCATAATAGCCTAAAAATATCTTGTTTATCATCTAAAATGGACGGCTCTGAGTGATAACACCTTAATTATAGAAATAATTTATTTACAATAATTTATTTAAAACAATTTTAAACTTAAAACATTAAGTTCACAATTAATATGGGAGTAGCAAAAATAATTCTTTAATACACTTGCGATTGTAATATAGCTTTCTGCAATAACATACAAAAAGTTTCACTGACCTCACGACATAAAATATCTGCAGATTTATCTCCTAACGCTGCTTGAGCAGAATTAACTCTACCAAGTTGTAACAATAAACCTGTAGTATCTTCAGCTAATGGTGGGAAAGCTAAACATATTCGTGTTAAAGCCGGTAATACAGGCATAAATAAAATTACACGATCTTTAGCAGATAACACTCCTAAAAGTGTTACCATAGTATTGATTGCTAAGCGGGAAACGCTTAAAGCCTTTGGTAGGGCATACTGAATTGCAAGATGCGATGCCAAATCTACAGCAAATATTTGCTTCTCTGATTCTGGCTGAGATAACAATTCAGGAATCCAGTCAAGACATATGTGCATAGATGGAATACCCGTAACTGTGATGGGTAACAATTCTCTCGGATAACCCTACGGAAAAGAAAATATTATTATTAATTCTAAAGTATTCATATAAATTGATATCTAATTTCTTAACTAATTCTATGTGGTAACTCTTTAGCTGTTCGTTCTTACACATTTTCATTTTATTATACATATATCATGTTGTACGAAAAGTTGTGTTATATGAAAGCAGTGGTCATAATATCTTTGTCACGGAAAAACCGTTGAAAATCTCGGTTCATATTTTTGTTTACTATATAGCACACCCTGCCAAAAACTGACAAAAAATTCAGACCGCTACTTGCGATATCTTATCAAAAAATTACTATAAAAGTGGTATTGTTAGAATTTCTATAAAAATCGATATTTTTTGTTGGTTTATCATTTTTTGCAACCACAATGTACTAGATTTTTTCAAAATTTTAAAAAGCAACTGGATGAAGAAAATAAGAGGTAAAGTGCGTGTTCCAATCTACCTTGCAACCACTCTTAAAGGGCAAGCTACAAGATTGAAATTTACCAGAAAGTATTTTTTCTTGGAAAACTTTTCAAAAAGACAGATGTGACCATCTTATCTGGCTAGGCCCTTTCATCATACAATGTGACAGTTATAAGATAATATTTCGATTAAATTAACATACTTGAAAGTGAACTAATTTGGCTAATGATGGATCCGCTATGAACACTTGATGCAAGTATGAACAAATAATACTTTGAATTTCTCTTAAGGACCACATTTGTCCAGGAGTTTCTCTATCTTCTTTTGTTTCTAAACATGCTTCTAATAATATTTGAACTGCTGCACTTTCTTGTCCTGCCACTAAAGCTGTTCTTAAATCTTCTCTTTCAGCATCACTTGATAACTGACCAATTTTTTCAGTCAGTGGTTTGTCCTGTATATGCCTAGATAACTGTGATCGAGAGGCAGCTAATGCAGCTTGCAAAATTCTAAAAAATAATTTCACTACGAATTATCTTTTTGTACCCTTAAAAATTCTAAAATTTATCAAAAAACTTACCTTATGATAATAGATAAAATTGGAGCACATCTAAAAACCCTTGTATCACATCTTAATACTTGTAAGGGATCTAAGACAATATTTTCCTGCGTTAAAAATACGTTTTTTATAATAGAATTTTCTATTAACAGTGCGTTTATTGATAACACCCACAAACATCTTGGAAGAACTGTATTTAACCTAAGCCACACTTGTTTATATAACTCTAAAAAATTAAATTAATATCTGCATTAGAAGAGTAAAATATAAACAGTACCTTATACAAATTATCAATATTCTTGTCCAAAACAATGTATACACAAAGTGTGCCAAATAAAGTGTTAGAATCTGTTTTCTCTCAGATTATAAAAAAGTAAATGATGCAAAGAGCCTCATCTTTTAGTACCCAACAAAATTTTCTTGGGACAACTCCTGCAGTGGAAGGAGACCATTCAGTAGTTCTTTAAATGAGACAGAGTATTAACTTTTTATTATTGTAATGGCTCTCGTCAAACTAACATTTACATAATGTTTTGTTAAACATTTACTTCTAAATAATGAAAAATACAATTAATAAGATGTCAACATTTACGTGGAATAGTAACAAACTATTTAATAACAGCAAATTATTTAATTGACAATTGATAGTTTTTTAAGTATCGATACAATAGTTTTGATTTCGGTACAGTACTAGATTGATTTCAATTCAAGAAAAATTCTTGCAAATAACGCGTCAAACTGCGACGCACAGTGGTCACTTTCTCTAAAATCTGGCCAAAATGCAATTTTAATTGTTTTCGAAAGAATTATTCTAACAAGATTCATAACTTAAAGTAAGATTTCAACTATGATATTCAATCGAAAATTTTGGTACGTTTTTGCACATTTTTAAAATATTCAAGTTTGAAGTGCCCATCAACGCTTTTCGTAAGCAATGTTAAAGAATGTCGTTCATCTTAATATTAATACTGTACAGTTATTTCAAAAACACAGCATGGTAGAAAAAAATGATTTAGATAAGAGTGTTAGGGTTTGAAAAGTTCAAAATAGACAAATGTTGACAATAAATGTGTCAACAAAAATGTTGATAATAATAATTTCATACTTGTGATTAAGAGCTAATATAATCCACAAGGAAATCTTACCTTGAATATATCTAG